AAAAACATTAGAACCAATGTAAACTAAATTTTTGTGTGTGTATTGCAATAAAACCAATGTAAACTAACAATACACACACAAAAACAATAAAACCAATGTAAACTAACAATACACACACAAAAACATTAGAACCAATGTAAACTAACAATATACACACAAAAACATTAAAACCAATGTAAACTAACAGATAATGTTTCTTATGAATTACTGAATGACTCACACTTTCAGCCAGAACTCGAAATGTCCGTTTACATGGGAATTATTATTTTAAGAAAAAAGGGGAGGCCAACGTAAAAAAAGAATACAGATTAATAAATAAATCTGTCTCTTCCCTATGAATATGCAATACCTCCTTCCAAAATTGTATTTCCCAGAATCAATTAAAGTCCATAATGGCTTAGCTTAGTTTGTTCTTAAATAACTTTTAATGGTTGTCGAAGTCCACAGATTATATTTTTGTATATCTAATGTATATTTCTTGATATTCGATACAATAATCACTTAAGTTCTTTGATATAAAAACAAAGATCCAGAAGAAAATAAACTCTTGAGTTCATAGAAAACCAGGTGGTTTATATTTGTAAACAAGACACAATGTATTACAATCATAAAATATACCTGGATTGCATTTTTTTTTTCTGCTTTATGCAACTTATGAACCAACTCTGAAGAAACTTTCTATGTTAAAGAATACGTGAAACTAATGATGACAAATATTATTGTTTCAAAAACAAAGGTTAGCTCTTTCACAAACAGGAAGTCCGATTTATTAATCAGTGAAACAATGAATGAATTTCATTTCTTTTAACAACGTTTTTTTCTTTCTTGTTTTTATTTCTTTTAACGAACACACAGTTTTATTACCTCAAGTAATAATAATACAGCAGAACAGCATTTTAAGTCATATTTGAACAAATAAGATCAAGATTAATTCATTCCATACTTACTTGAGTACATTCTGTAAAACAAGGCGATTTGAGAGTCGAGGATCGGTAAACTGGGTTGTTCTATTGTTGTGGTCAACAAAGTACGCTCGGCCACTACCCGTATGCCTCATTTCCCACCCAATGGGAAGAGGTCCCAAGTCATCTACATTCACTCTAGCAAGGTCCCTAGGGACTCGTGGATCATGCCAAGTGCTTACTCCAGTTCCAACATGATAAAAGTAGACCTGTCCTTGTTGGGTGGTTCTCATTTCTGAACAAACACAAACAAGAGAAAAACATTATTACTGCATAGCTATAAAGAAATAGATGTATTTATATCATCTTCTACTCAATAAGACCAACAATTTGTTCTCAAAGGATATTTCACTTATAGCAAAACAACAGCAGCACCCCTAATAAACTATAGCTTAAAAACTGTGTAAAAAATCAGTCATAATACTCTGAAAATCAAAATTTGACACTAATTTTAAATTAAGCATAAACATGAAAATATCTTAGTTTTAGCTACACGTCGAGACAGAACTATTACAATAAATATGAAATGGCCATGTAGGTTTTGTGAAATTAATAACACTTGTTTTCACAGAAAGTTAGTTTTTTATTCTATTCATATTTGAAAATAACAAATCAATTACCGTAGTAAACACTGTTAAGTAATGATGAATACGATTTATTCACAAGCGGAAAGTGAAAACCAACTTTAGTGTTAAAACAATTAGGCTTAGCAAATGTTGATATTACGAATTAATAAAATCGACTGATTTAATACAAAACAACTTCTTACAAAGAGAGCGAGGCTTTGAGGAATATTTCCTTACTTTTACCAGATCACCGAACCTGAATATAAGCAAACAACTTAATACGAAATCCATAAATATGTAACAAAATGAACAGTTCCCTGTGAACGGCTTCTCCTTTCTCTCTGACTTTGAAGAAGATAATGTTTCAGACTTTTTTTTGTCATATTTAGATAATTATCTAGCACATTTATGTACTGTACCCTATAGCTGATGTTGAAGTTTGAATTACTGTGCAATAACTTTTTGAGGATTTCAGTCTTTAACAACCAAGTTTTTAATGCTGTTTGAGAAATACATAATTTAAACTTATAGCAATCTTGAGTGATTCTTTACCATAACCATCGGGAAGCTCAGTTGACTGATGGAGTTGGTTTCTTGACACGAAGTTCCGATGTCTGGTAGACCTCCTTCTCATCGCAACCTGGGCATTATCTGAAGATGAGGAATCTCCTTCACTGTTTAGACCTGGTGGAACGTTGTTCCTACGTGATCTACTACTACCATTATGATTGGAGTTATTACTTTGTGGAGTTTCATGTGCAGATCTAAAACAAAAACACATAAAAAATGAAGTATCCACATTCATTTTTTCAACTAACACAATTAAAGAAAAGCAACAAATCTACAGCACAACTTAATATTCTTTTAACTGCAATCTTTTCAGACCTTTCCAATCGAGCATACATGTGGTTTATTCACAACATTGCTAAACCAGTTGTTATACTGCATATAATAAACGTCTTTGTATAAATGTTTTTCTCATCGAAATAATCATAATTCTGATTAGCAATGTCAATAATTAATAATACTTATTGGCTCAAGTTCTTCACGTGTTTACAAAAAAGATAACTTACACAAGATTAGTATTTCACATTATGTACTAAGACTTTTATATCTTTTCTTCTATCACACCATAAACTGTTTATTACTTTTTGCTCCTTCTAGATCCAAAACCAAGATCACCAAACAAGATAAGGAAACATGCCAACCTGTTAAAATGGCATATTGTCAATGCTCGAGTCATTATCACTGGTTTTCTCTCATTTATTTTTGGTAAAAATGCTAATCCAAATATATTATATTAAATTAGTTTTTATTCTTATTTTAACCATACAATCTTTTCTCAATAGTTTTTGATACAAAATAAAAATTATTAACAAAACACAGCCATCTACTGATACTGCCACATGAGGAATGGGTTAAGTTACAGTAATTTTGCATTTGATATAAAATGACTAACAAAACACAGCCATCTATTGATACTGCCACATGAGGAACAGGTTAACTTACAGTAATTTTTGCATATGATATAAAATGACTAACAAAACACAGCCATCTACTGATACTGTCACATGAGGAATGGGTTAAGTTACAGTAATTTTTGTATATGATATAAAATGACTAACAAAACACTGTCAACTACTGATACTGCCACTTGAGGAACAGGTTAAGCTACAGTAATTTTTGCATATGATATAAAATGACTAACAAAACACAGTCATCTACTGATACTGCCACATGAGGAATGGGTTAAGTTACAGTAATTTTTGTATATGATATAAAATGACTAACAAAACACAGCTACTGATACTGCTACATGAGGAATGGGTTAACTTACAGTAATTTTGCATATGATATAAAATGACTAACAAAACACTGTCAACTACTGATACTAGCACATGAGGAACAGGTTAAGCTACGAGGATAATTACTTTGAACAATTACAAGTTTGTTATTTATTTCACACTTGATTATTTTTTAATGAACCAACACAAAACATTCATGTAACAAGGCACTTTTCTGTTACCTTCTATAACATACTAGTGTCCTACTAAAAACAAAAAACTATCTGAGTCACATTGTATAGTGGTTAATGTACTGGGTAGATTAAAAATATTAATGCATACAGACACATTAGAGGTAAGATTTAACTACTGAAAAAATATAAAATATATTTGGGTAACTTGTGAAGTTGATTTATGTAAAACATATACGAAAAACATTTTTAGGGACAAGAATATCCTTATTTTTAAGAGTACCAACACTTTAATATATATCATATTTTATTGAAATGTTTACTAAAAGTAGCTAAATATGAGTATACATACTAGGATCTATTTATGGACAAAAAGAAAGCCCCAGAGGTCTTGAGCTGTTAATACATATTTTAATGTTTGGCCAATTATCAACAACCTGACATTCTTAACAAATTCTATTAAAAGTTCGTGAGGAATGATTTATGACGTTAAGTTTAAAGCCCGTACCTTGTCGGGTTTTCCCACTGAGTGGACCTAGTATAGTGATTGACATAGTATATCCTCCCAGAAGCCGTTCTCCGTTCCTCCCAGCTGTACAAGAACACGAGTTACAAAACTTTATATGAGTTTCTAGCCTTCATCTTACATGTGGGAATATAGTTTATTAAAATGTGAAGGTGGTATGTGCGTGTATCTACCAATTCCCTATACAGGTTCAAAATAAGCTGCAACCATCTTTATAAAATATTAACCATAAAATAATATACTTATTCTATTTAAACATAACTAAATAATTCTTATGAAATTCTTTTCCCTCATGTTTTTCTTTCCTCCTGGGATGACTTTTTGGATTCTGTGAACCCGAAGAAGGGCTCAGCATAGAATCCAAAATGATGTCTCAGAAAGAAAAGAAAATTCTACTCGGTAGAAGAACTGCTTCTAGATGAATGCAATGCCTCAATATTTAAATATAACAATAACTCTTTTTTATGTAAATATAACAGGGAAGAAACAGAGTGACACAACCTTGGTTCAACAAAAAGGATATCTGTGTGGTGATAATTCTTAACTACTAGTAATTTGTAACCTGTATTAAAAACAAATCCCTGAAATAAGAACTGCAACACTTTTACCCGTCAGGAAGCTCCTCTGGGGAAGACAGATTTTCCACAGTATCCATAACTACATTCTGGCTCCCTGTACCATGTCCATCTCGAGACAGCAAGCTAACCACTATCTGCCCACGAACTACGTCCTGGTCATCTGAATTACTCTTACAAAGGTCCAGCCTCTGATCTAAATATTTTTGAATTACACAACAGAAATAGATGAACAGTGTCCTACTAATTAATACCATTTTAACCTACAAAATGTTCAAGAACTACACCAAACTAAAAAAACTTACTTGACGTAGTTTACTCATTCAAATGTTACAAATGTAGAAAACCAATACAAAGCTCTAATACAGTGTAAGTGACTATTCTAAATATATACTTTTTATTACAAAAAAACAAATGTTTGGAAGAACACTTCAGTCCATATCCAAGTAATTTTTGGTAATTGAATAGGTAAGGCACATACAGACAGGAGTTCTTCGGCTTCGGAATAAGCCCTTTCTTGCTAGAACAGCTTTCATTGTGGAACACCACTTCAGAAAGGTATTTCTACCGAGATCATGATCTTATATACCCAACTTAACCCCCTTCTTACTTCTTAAAAACTGCAAGATCATACTTTACTGCAGTAAAACACGTGACTTGTGACTCGGGGCTTTTCATTCACTTATGACAAATGAATAGTCAATAATCACTTTTCAACTCGGAAATGGAAAAAAAAACGTAACAAAAGCTCAATAACTACCACATACTATCAACAAATCTAACACCCAATTTACTGACTCAATTATTATTAAATGTTTATGAGTGTTTATTAAAAAAAACATTTTCTCACTTCTCCATAGTGAGTTAATTAAAACTGGATCAAACCAAAGTAACCTTTCTAAACAAGATAAACTCCATAACATTAAGAAGATTTGAACAACACATATTTTGTAAGCAAGTATATCTTGAGACAAATATTTCAAATTCTTGATTTCTCTAATGAAAAACAACCACAAATATGAAACACTTTAATTAACCACTTTTCAGCAATATCTGTTTTGGTGATAACAAGATAGCTCATGCTATTTGTACTGAAAATTAATCTACGTTAATAATTAAAATGATCAAATTTCATTTCTTTAGGGTAAAACTTGTTTATTCTGAGATGAAAAACTTGTGAACTCATTTAATTTTCTTATATAATCTAAACAATGTTTTAAACAGTTCTTTACTGCTGCAATAGTTCAGTTTACATTTTATTCTTTTTTTTAAGAATTTTTAATAGTATTATAAAACTGTCTTAGCATGAAACATGACTTAAAATATTAATTCACTGAATCTACCAACATTATCTACATATATAATTCAGTGAATCTTCCAACATTACCTACATATATAATTCAGTGAATCTACCAGCATTATCTACATATATAATTCAGTGAATCTACCAACATTATCTACATATATAATTCAGTGAATCTACCAACATTATCTACACGTATAATTCAGTGAATCTACCAACATTATCTACACCATTATCTACATATATAAAAGTGAAATTTTACACTTTCATCGTACTTTGATTGCCCAGAAATTGAACACACGACTTACAGCCAGTATCTTTAAGAAGCTGGATTGCATTGGACATGATCCGCACACAGCCAAGAAACCCTGCCCCGTTCTTCTTATGGATCTTCTTATGATTCCAAATACTAATAGTAATAGAATCTTGTTTTCCAATATACCTTAATGGATAAAAATACATATATATATATCTTATATATACAAATATATATATTATATATGTGTGTGTGCTTTCTATGAACAAACATATGTTGTGATAAAATTAACTTAACATAGATAACACTTCAACGTGCATTCTAATTAACCTTGCAGCAACTCATACAGCAGTGTTTATAGCCTGCCCTCAATGAACACCCACTTAATGCAACTTGTCATGACCTTTTTCAGAGTGTAATTGAACATGGTATTATGTATTTGATGTCAAAGTTATCACCAATTCATTTTACCCTGCATTGCCAATTTATCAACAGTTTGTGTTAGAGGAGAGTAAATACCAGATACAGTGTACGGGGATACTGAAAAAAAACTGTAGGTATACATTTTAGAGGTTCTATGCAAATACAATATGTAGAATGTACGATGGACAACAGTATTTTTATTCTTCACACAAACATCACTTTGCACTCTGACTAGTAAGAGTCCAAATCAGACAGGTGTCATCAATTACATATAGTATAGTCAACATTCATTTTCCAATATGGACCCCCCATGCACATTCAGTTAACTTACAGTTAGGTGGGTGTTAAGTCCTACCTAATCCAATTTTGACAGAATTTACTTGCTTACTGTCAAGCGATTGTCACCAGAAAAACACTAGAATTTTTTATGAAGAAGCTTCTTTATTGTCTTTATCAGCAGATCTCACTCTGTAGTCCACAGACCTCCTTCAGATGGTCAGTGGCAAGGTTGAACAATTATGGAAAGGAAGTGGGAGAACAGTGTATAAATCCAGAGAGATTAAAATACAACTTAAATAAACCCGCACGTATATGACAATACATAAAACTTTGATGTTGTTATTATAATCAGATGAATTATGTGAAAATAAAGCTGGACAAAAAGTGCTCTTTAAAATCTTGGAAATGATATCAGCCAATCTACAAAAAAAAGAAACAATTTTAGCCACACTACCATATGCTAATAACTTGGATGAGATACAAACTTAACCCAAGAACAAAGTTTAGCTACACCACCATATACTAATAACTTCGACAAGATACAAACTTAACCCAAGAACAAAGTTCAGCTACACCACCATATACTAATAACTTGGACAAGATACAAACTTAACCCAAG